CGTGATCACACAGGTTGATATGTTGTTGCATGTGGGCTTTGTTGCTTCTGAGCTAGATGGCCGCTTGTTTACCTTCAAGCTGTAATCTTATAGAAACAAATTTTCAGGTCTTCTGCTGCAACACACTTTTTATTCTTAAATTGTTATTCATACTGAAAATACTTCCCATGAATTATCAAAGTCAGTATATGCATCTATGAATATGCAGTTCATCAGTGGAATGGGCGTTGTGCAGGAACCTATTACTGACTTGGTAATTTAATCCTAACGTTTAACATTAGTACTTTTTTTCTCCTTTTTTCTCTATTTTAATTTTTTTAATAATAGACTTGATCTTATTGGTGTAATTTATAAGGATTACATATTATTCCAAGTACTATTTTATTACCGAAATGAGCATAATGTTGACTTGCTGAGTGGGGTTAAGTGGATATAAAACAAAGTGTGAATTGTACTGTGCCAGAAAGCAATAAACAATTCAGCTGCCTGTTTCTTAATTTAATTAGGTTCACATTTTTTGAGAATACAATTATCAACCACAGATGTTTCTGATATTAGTCAGGACTCATTTATAATTTATAGAAACCCAAGTCAAACTTAACAGGAGCTTCTTGGTCAATGTTTGCAACAGCCCTAGACAAAATTGGATCTGTATTCAGATGCTATTTTCAGGAATCTCCCTATCACTTTGCTCTTGTCATAGATGTTGGTGGGGATTTGTAATTTGTAATTTCCCAATAATGGATGTAGTTCTGGGACTACACGTTCCCTAGGGACTGCCATCTCAAAAAGTCAGTCACACTTTAAAAAGAAGACTCATCTTTGGCCTGACTTAAGTCATCCCTGCTTTGGAGTCAAGCATTATATCCAATAATTGAGCTCCTCCCCTTGGCCAGCCTAACTGCTGTGCCCACTTACGGAACATGTGTCATGCTGGCAGGTGGTGTCAGATTGGTTCTAACTCATAGCAGGCCTGCATACAAGAGAACAAAGTGGTGTCCGACCCTGCACCATCCTCACAATACGTGTTATGTGTGAGCCCAGTTTTGCAGCCATGGATCAGTCTATCTCGTTGAGGGCCTTCCTCTTTTTCTGTGATCCAATGTCAAGCACGATCTTCTTCTCCAGAGACTGGTCCCTTGTGCGGACATGTCTATGGTACATGAGGTGAAGTCTTGTCGTCCTCACTTCTGAAAATCATTGTGGCTGTACTTGTTCCACGACAGTTACAAGATCCCTGCTATTCCAACAACTTAGCACTAAGCTGTTAGCCAAGAGATCAACAGTTCAAACCTACTCACTGCTCTCAGGAAGAAAGATGCAGCAGTCTGACTGGTTCTATAAAGATTTACAGTCTTGAAAACTCTACTCAGGTAGAGAAAGGCAATTCCCAAAAGGAAGGAATGTAGGGCAGAAAGAAAGTTTCACTTTAGTACTGTACCCTATTTTATTTCCATTCTAGGGTGGCTAGGGGTGTGAGAATGTGTGTTTGTTTCTGTTATGGAAGAGTAATGTGTTTCTAGAGCCGTATACTTTAGTCACCGTAAAACCCACTGCAGTTTTGTGGCTTCTTTTCTTCCTCAAAGAACCAAACCACTCCTTAGTCAAAGTTGTGCATTTACATTGAAACCAATGTGATTCAGACTTGAATCTCCATGTAAACTCCCACAAGTGAGTCTTTCCAAGGGAAAGGGACTACTCTCCTTGAGCTAGTGTTTGAAGGCTTAGGGTTTGGGTTAGACATCAGGAAATCCTTGCCTAATGCAGTTTGCTGAATCCCATTGGACTTCACTGTTTGTGTTTCTAGTGACTTCCAATTTTTTTTCATGCATATCCGCCTGCTGTTTTATTTGGAAAACATTCCCTAAACTCTAGGAAAATAGTGTGTTACAGTGTTATACACAAGCAGCCCTGGCAGCCCACAGACCTGTTTTATTTGGCATGCACAGTGTTGGCGTGTTTAAAAAGAAAAGGTCTGGCCACCTTGAGCCTGCATTTCTTCAGGAAGTAGAACTTGGAAGCTTTTGAATGCTTGGTCAGAGTGATGCTCTTGGTTTTCTTACATTGTACTTTGTTGTGTGAGGTACCAAATACACTCATTATAAACCGAGTTTATCCATCACATTTTTTATGCAGTTTTTGTGGTAAAATTTGGTGCCTCGACTGATAGTCAGGTCGGCTTATACTCGAGTATATATGTTACTTGAGTTACTCTTCAGTTGATCCCAACTCTTAGTGACATAGGCCCATTTATTTGTGTTACTTGCTGGCGTCTGCAGATCTCTGAGTTTGTGCCCCTTAATATATGCCCCTCTGGGCAGAGTGTGTAGAAGCAGTGTCATTATAGACTGATAGAGGCAACCCAGGCTTTTTGAAGCGTATGTTTAAATAAATAAATAACTGTAGAAGCTAATGACTTGGCTTGTCTTGGTGTTTCTTGTGAACCTGGCTACTGGTTTATGTTTTGTTAGCAGTATCGTGGAATAGAGTTCCCAGAGAAAAGAAGATTTCATTTGGATTTTGACTATCAGTGCAGTTTTATAGGTTGGGAGTAGGGGTGGTGGTTGGGTGCCAAGAAGTCAGGTCCCACCCATAGCAGCCCTATGCACAACAGAATGAAATAAACACGGCCCAGTTCTGCACCCTCCTCACAATTGTTCCTGTGCTGGAGGCGTTGTTCAGCCACTGTGTGGACCCATCTTGCCCCGAGGGCCCTCCTCTTTTTCACTGCTCCTCTGTGCCACCAGTGACTGGCCTCTCCTGAGGACGTGTCCAAAGTTTGTGAAAGGAAGTCTCCCCAACCTTTCTTCCAAGCACCACTCGGCCGTACTTCTTCCAAGACAAACTTGCTTGCCCATTTTAGCAGTCCGTGGTACTTTCCATATTCTTCGCCAGGGTTGGGAGAGGACATCTCAATATTTTCAAGGTGCCCTGGGAAAATAGAGAGGAGCCCTGGGGGTACAGCTGGTCAGGCATTAGACGGCTAGCTAAAGATAAGGGCTGGAAACCCACCATCTGCGCCACAGGAGAACGAGAAGGTGGCCTGCACCATAAGATTTACAGTTTGGAAACTCTCCGGAGTATTTCTTCTTTGTGCTGCAGAGTCACTGTGAGTCAAAATCAACTCGCAGGCAGTGGGTTGGATTTGGGCTTGGTTTTTTAGGAGAATAGAGCTTTTCGTGGCGGTCCTCAGATTCTCCTTGGGAGGGAGCCAAAGGTGAAGCGAAAGTCATATTGTGATGGGCTTTGCAGCCGGGTTAAAGAGCTTTGATCCCGTGTGTCAATTCAGTAGTCAGGATTGGTTGAGCACTTATTTTATTCCAACGTTGTTCTGTTTGATGTGAAAGAGACGACAAGATAGTTTTATAGAACATGGAAAACTAAGAAGTGCAATTTTGTGACAACATAACTATTATAACAGACTTGATCTCTATGGTGCACTTTACTGTAGGTAAACAACATCTTCTAAGAGAAGCAAGGGTGGAAATTTGGTCTGAGTGTCAAACCAAATACTCAGGCCTCATGATTCACCGATGCCACACTTGCAGCTCTTGACCGCCTCTTGGAAATACTTTGTTTTTGGTGGAAGTACACCTAGCAAATTAAGTTCCTGTTTAATCACTTCTGCAGTAACTGGTGACACGGGGGACATGTTTCAGTGTGTCTGTCTTCTCACCGGGTTTGTTCTGGTTGTTTATGTGTGAACATGTTTGTACCCCCAAAATCAGGACTCGCTTCATGGTTTCTCTCAGCCATGCCCTTGTGCAGCATGGGGGAAATTTGGTGTCACCTGATGTGTGCACATTCATAGCTGAGGTCAAGCAAGGCAACCCTCTGCCTTCTTGTTACAGCTCTCATACTGTGTGGCAAGCAAGTTGTTGTTGTTGGTAATGGTGGTGTGCGTGTGTCTGTATAGTGTACTTAGTGCCTCGGCTTTCGCTTTTGTGTGCTTTCGGCTGGTGATTTTGCACAGTGCCGAAGTTGGCCCTTCATGTGAAAAGGCTGTGTGATGCCTTACAGAGAAAATGTGTGCTTGGTAAATGATGAGTGCTGTTGGTCCTGAGTTCAATATTAATGAGGCAACAATATCTATTAAGTATTTACACAGGTGTGTTCACATTGTAATATGTCATCAAGCTATGCGTTAATAACCTGTAGGTTTTTCTACAACTAGTCATATTTCAGTTTAAAACATTGTTTACAACAAAGGAGGCATTGAGAGAAGATGTAGTGTGATGTCATAAGGACCTAAATATAACATTGTATCTCCCTTATGATCATTTTGAAGCTGTCCTTACCTGATAGTTGGTGAGGTGGATGTTGTCTGCCTATTTGTCTGCCTTAACAGACTGAACTTGGGGGAGGCAGAGCCCACGTCCTCCTCTCTGCCTCACAAAGTGGACACTGGGAGAACGTTTATGGTCTCATGAGACAATGCACTAATGTGGGAAATGTGTCCCTATTTCCAGGTTAAAAAAACAACTGAAGCCACCTTGCAGACCATTCAAGATATGGTCACCATCGAGGACTATGATGTTTCCGAATGCTTTCAGCATAGCCGCTCCACGGAGTCTGTCAAGTCTACCGTCTCTGAAACCTACCTGAGCAAGCCCAGCATTGCCAAGAGAAGAGCCAACCAGCAGGAAACTGAGCAGTTCTACTTCATGGTGCGTCCATCACCTTCCAAGCCACTCTTGCAGAGCCCTGATCTGGGAGTCCAAAGGCTGCTTCCGTGGACACATCAAAATCACGGGGGCCTCTTTATTAACATACAGGCTTCTCTCCACCCCCAGAGTTCCTGATACAGTGTAGCTCTGGCACAGGGTGTAGGAAATAGTACTTTTTTTTTCTTTTAATGAGTCCCTAGATGTTGCAAATGGTTAGCATACTCCACTGCTAACTGAAAGGCTGGTAGCTGGAGTCTGCCCAGAGAGGCACCTTGGAAGAAAGGTGCCTAGTGATCTGCTTCTGAAAAATCAGCCATTGAAACACCAGTGGAGCACAGTTCTACTCTGACACACATGGGACCATGAGTCTGAATCCACCCTACAGCAACTGATTCATGATTTTAAAGCTCTTCGGGTGATTCTGATAGAATTTACAGAAAACAAACTTAACTGCCATCAAGTCAATGCAGATTCATAGTGACCCTACTAAACAAGATAGAACTGTCCCAGTGTGTTTCTGAGATTGTAACCTTTACAAGAGTAAAAAACTCTGCCTTCTCCTGAGAAGCAGCTAGTGGTTTTGAACTGCTGACCTTGCAGTTAGCAGCCCAGCACGTAACCACTATACCACCAGGGTGCCTTAGGTTTAGAGAGGACTGTTCCAAAATAGTGCCTGGGGCAATGTAGATTTATTTTAGTAGATTGGGAAGGGAGGGAGGAGCCAGAGACACTGCATCTCTCTGGGGCTCCCCAGTGATGCTGATGCTGCCAGTCTGCAGAGAACACTTTGAGTAGCACCGAAGCTGTCCATTTTGGGCAGAAAGTCCAGACTATGTATATGCATGGATTTTAGATATTCCCCAGGGCAGTCCACGATATCAAAATACTAATTAAAAATAACCAAAAAACCAAAAAGTGAATCCTTCCTTTTGCAGAAACTCCGAGAATATTTGGAAGGCAGTAATCTCATCACAAAGCTTCAAGCCAAGCATGACTTGCTGCAGAGAACTCTTGGAGAAGGTCAGTTATTTGGGATAGTCAGAAAGATGACCTGGAGGGTATACTGTGAAGAGTGGGGACTAGGGATTTGTGCTTCAAAGAAGCGGAGAATGTTGTGTGTTGAGATGTGACTTTATCAGTATCGGTAATAATCCAATTCTCTCTGGGACTCTTCTGGTCAAGCCTGGCACTAAGTGGGGAAGAAGAATGAGATCTCCACAGGGCACAGAAGCCAACACAGAGCCCCTGAGAAAGGCGCTGCTGAGGGGAGAGAGGGCTGCAGGAGCCGTACTTCCTTCCATCGGCCTGCCTCCCCCCTCCTGTCACCATGCCCTGCCTTTCTGGGACTTCTCCAACCCACTGGGGTTTGTCTTCATGGGCCTGGTGTTTGTTGTTCCATCCATTACCATTTGTCCTCCAGAAACTACGTAAGCTGGTTTGGGGGTTTCCACCTCCCAGTAGGTATTGGTTTTAGTTGAGAACTAATCTAATAGTGTAGGTAGATTACAAGGTCTGGTAGTACAGTGGTTAAACACCTGGCTGATACCCCAAAACAGCTAGTGGTTTGACGCCCACTCAGGAGAAAGACAGGCAATCCACCTCTATAAAAATATGAGGGTGCCGCCTCGCCACTTTTCTATCACTCTTTGTTAGTGGAAAATATTTGAGTTCTCTTTTCCTGCCAGCTTTCTGCCTTTCAGAGACTCCAGCCTTCACACACTTTTACTGTTCAAGGTTGTCTGTGTTCCAGACATTGTTCTAAGCCAGGGGTCCTCAAACGTTTTAAACAGGGGGCCAGTTCACTGTCCTTCAGACCCGTTAGAGGGCCGGACTATAGTTTAAAAAAAACTATGAATGCACACTGCACTTACTTTTTTTGAAGTAAAAAAACAAACGGAGCAAAAACACCCGGCTGGCGGGATAAATGTCCTCAGCAGGCCGCCTGAGCTGTAGTTTGAGGACACCTGTTCTAAGCTGTGTATCTCACTAGGCACTGTTAACTTCCCCAGTTTTACAGATGAGGAAATTGGAGGGGAAGATCATTAGCAAAATAGACTGTGAATATTATTGTTTCTCTTTATGTCTTCATGAAATTTAAAGAGAAAAAAATAAAGACAAGCAAAATCCTTAGTGTACCTTATAGTCTTTGACTTTAGTTATCTAATAGTCACACTAGCTCCTGCTACAGATTATGAGGCATGAAAGAGAATTTGGAAGTAGTGGAACATGGGCTGGGTTATGTGAGTAAATCAGGGCAAAAAGAGCTAACTGCTCTTGGACCGAAAATCTTCTTACCATTCCAGAACCTTCTTTATCCATCCCCTTATCTCTTGTTTTTTTTCCAAAGCACTCGTTATTCTTAGGGAGTGGCCATGCAACAAAAGGTCATCATGAACTATGACTCTGTGTGTAACATTGTTTAGATGCTAGAAAATAGAAAACACCCATTTTACCTAAGGGGAGGAGGGAACATCAAACTACTGAGAAGTGTCTAAAAATAAAAAACATACTGTAAAACCAAATGCAATGTGTGATTCTAGATCAAAAAGCAAAAGCTATTTTGAAGGTAGTTGGAGGAATTTTGATGTATGCTACATATTAAATTATGCTATTGAGTTCGTTTTCATTTTTCTAGACAGAGTAATAGTATTGAAGTTCAGAAGAAGCATGTCCTCATTCTTAACAAAAGCTTGATAAAGTGTCTCCAGCTTACTTTCAAGGGGTTCTGAGAAGAAAAAAAATTTATATATATATATATATATAGAGAGAGAGAGAGAGAGAATAGAATTCCTTGAACTATTCTTTTAACTTCCCAGTAGTTTTGAACTCTTAAGAAGTAAATAAAAGTATTTTAGCAAGAACATTCTACTTTTCTCCTTCGTTGCATCATATGAAATCTCTTCTTCATTTTTACAAATGCATAATATTTTTATGATACCTCCGTGGGTAGTTGCAAACACAAAAAATAATAAATTATCAAAAAAGACAACTTCTGCCTGAACCCAGATGGATGCTGACAGGTGCAAAGCCCTTCTCGACTGTATTAGGTACCACTTTAGAAATTGCAAGTTTAAGAGAATGGAGTCATGAGTAGATTCACTCTTAGGAAGACACGCACATGAAATCATTGTAGGCCTCTGGAAATTGTTATCCTACTGGTGTAACTTGGGTTCTCTCATGTCTTCTGAAGAGCAAGCCCCAACTTAATATAATATTGTTATTGTGCTACTGTTCTTTTAGATGCAGTGTTTAAAATGGGCTATATTTTAGCCAGAGTAACATTGTTACATTGAACATGTCATCAAGAAAAATCAGTTGCTGGAATGGGACATCGCTTTGGTAAAGTGGAGAGCCAGTGAAAGCCGGGAAGACGAGATGAATTAGCACAGTGGCTGATACAGTGCGCTCAAACATGCCAAAGATCGTGGGGATGGCCCTGAGCCAGGCAGTGTTTTGTTGTACTGGGGTTGAATTGAACCCAAATCAGTGGCCACTAACCACAACAAACCAAATCTTAGCAACTTGCAGAATCCAGAGACCAAATTAATGTCTTTAGCTGTTGAACTGTGTAGAACATAGGTTCAGAAAAAAAAAATTACTCAGCCACCCTTCTTACCCCCCACCCCCAGCAATGAAAAACTTTTGTACTACAGGCCATAATCCAAGATAAAGTGTAGGTATCTGCTTTTGCAGCCCCCTGATCCTTCTACCACACAGGGCACTGTCACCCATTTGGGAAACACTGGTGAGAAGCTATCTTACTTTGTGAACTCGAAGCCACTGTTTCTTAGGACGGGTCTCATCAAGGTTGTTAGCCAGCAGGCAGCCTGACCTCATTGCCCACATGCAGGTTTGGTCTCCTACTCTCACTTCTTTGCCCAGAGAAAAGTCGAGTGTGGAGAACTTGCCCTACCTGTTAGCTAGACCACTGTGAGCCTGCTGACCTTCCCCACAGCTCCCTTCATCTTAATTGGCTGACAGCAGAGCCTAGTAGGACAGGGTGATCAAGCCTGTGCGCTGGTGAGCCCCTATGAAGGGGACTCCGAGTCTGGGTTTGACTAGACAAGGTTTGTAGCGCCCTATTACATGGTGTGTCTGGGGGTAGCATTCAGTTTTAATATAGAAATGCAATACTAGACTCATTTCTGTAAAAGCTGCCTTCATGGGAAAACAAATGGAGCCTAACCCAGGAGTTTAGCAGTTGCTTTTACCCAGCTGAAACTGTAACTACAGCCATGTGTTTGGCCTGTCTTACTGCTAGCTTTTTGGCAGGCTCCCAGTGAGCCCTTTAGTTTACAACATTGTGCAGCAACTAGATTGGTCTCTTAAAGTGGTACTGCCCAAATTCAGAATTCCAAATCATTCTAAAGTAATTCTTGAAAGGTAGAAAAAAATACATAATGAGTTGCCGAGACCAAAATCTTCATCATGTCCCTCGTTCAGCAGCACCACTGTGCTGGTGTGGCGATGCTTGCTTTTAAGTCGGGACGTTCCACTGAGCCGAGTAAATGAGCTGTGTGCCTCTGTAGAAATGAGGCACCAGGATATTTGCTCTCTCTCTTTGAGTAGGAGCCTCCGTGTTCACATTGGCTTCTTTGTGTGCAGAGTTTAGAGTTCGGGAGAGGGGGTTGGGGAGGGTGGAAATATTGGTACAGTTTTGCCAAACCCAGAAAATCTGACACTGGAAACTTAGCTCCATGTAATATTATTTCTAGCCCTTGGCAGGAGATTTCTGACACAGGGATTCAATAGGTTATCTTCGGCACAACCCTTTGTCTGTCTCTGACCAAGAGTACAAAGAGACTTTCAACAGGGCAGCAGGTTGTGAATACGCAGGGGTTTTTCAGACAAGCATGGCAGTAAGTGGCGTCCTTCACTTACTACGGCGCTGCACTAGGCATTCATTAGGGCCTCAAGCGCAGGGTATGGTTGTCCTGGGCAGGCGAGCTGTGCACATTCTATGGACTTCATCCAGTCTTCAGTTGCAAATGGCCACCAAAGTGCTTTGCAGTGTTTCCTTGAAATTCAGGAGTCAAAATACACTTGTGTGTGAAAAATACTTTGACTTCATGATTCTCCACTGAATGATAAAAAGTAAGCCGAAGGAGCCCTGGTTCTGTAGTGGGTGAGTCATGGCATAATGTTTATGTGTTGGGATGCTTGCTAACTGCAAGGTCAGCAGTTCAAAACCACCAGCCAGCTCGTTGGGAGAAAGAGGAGGCTCTCTTCACCCCTAACTCTTTATGGATAACTCTTGATGGGTAGAAAGTCACAAGAGTAGTTCCACTCTGTGCTACAGGGTCACGATGAGTCAGAATTGACTCAATGGCAATGAGTTGTTTGGAGTTTTAACCTGAAGGTAGGTACCTGTACCAAGAGCAAGCTGACCCTCGGGTCAGGGTCAGTTCTTTCGTCTGACTGACTTACAAATGGGAGAGGAGGAAATTTGTCTGTTGATTTTAATCATCAACTAGCCTGCCCAACAAAGTGATGTAAATCTAATCTTCAAACCACTGGAAACTTTCACATTTCCTTGGGAAGCAGATTCTTCTAAGCCTGCGTGTTATTGATCTATTAATGATGATACTGATTAAAAAATAAATCCTCATTCATCAGTAGAGACACACACAGGCCTATTAGCTGAAGGACCATGGATGTGGTGGTGCGGTTATTCCATGAATGACAATTCTGCAAAGGTTGTTCTTGCCTCATTATTCAAAGTTTATCTTTTATAGGTCTTAAATTTTTTATCTTTACTATTACCCAAATAGATGAATAGATGGATGGAGCAATATCATTTTAAGCCATTTTGTATATGAATACCACAACCCCCAGCACCACCCACCACCTTTAAATCTAAAGTCTATTTGGGTAGGACGCTTTGAACAAAACAGCAAAACTTCAAAGTTACACTGTGTTTCATTTCTAAGAAATGATCATTAACAGCCTGGAATCATTCAAAAGTGATTGAATAACCTTTGTTATTTCATCAGATTTTATAAAGGTGAGTTGTTATTTTTATATTTGGCATTAGTCATGGGTGGAGCCAGGTGTGTGAGCCATCATCCCGATTTTCTCTGACCTTTTCAGGTATTTTCTAGGGCTTTGGGTGGAGGGAGATTTTTATTGTTAAAGGTAGTAGAGTACAGAACTTGGGGGCTTGAGTCTTGAATTAAGTCAAACCAGACTTAATCCTACAGCTGGGCTCTCCATATAGAGCAGTGGGACCCAGGGCAAGTCACTTAGATTGTGTGTGTGCAGTCCTATCGCTGCCTTAAAGAGGCGCTTGCAGAAGTGCGTACTTCACAAAGTTGTGAGAATTAAGCGAGTTCATATATAAAGTGCTTAAGATGGTATCTAATAAACGCTAAACCTCATTGTTATTCTCATTGTTACTAATATGTATCCTGTCATATTCTTACATTATAATAAAGTACACCACATGGCAGAATACAATTCAGATCATTTCCCTGCCCTCAGCCTTTTGGCTCATTCTACTGACTCACCCTGAGGGAGCCCAGCTAGTTTCTCTGATTCCCACACAATCTAAATCAGCGGTTCTCAACCTGTGGGTAGCAACCCCTTTGGGGGTTGAACGACCCTTTCACAGGGCCACCTAAGACCATCGGAAAACACATGAGTGTTGCACAATATATAATTACATATTGTTTTATGATTAATCACTATGCTCTAATTATGTTTAATTATGTTCAATTTGTAACAATGAAAATACATCCAGCATATCAGATATTTACATTACAATGCATAACAGTAGCAAAATTACAGTTATGAAGTAGCAACGAAAATAATTTTATGGTTGGGGATCACCACAACATGAGGAACTACTGTATATTAAAGGGTCGTGGCATTAGGAAGGTTGAGAACCGCTGATCTAAATGGTAGTAACTCCCAACTCTTCCTCCATAGCCCTGTCTTCTCATCTGTGCTTGAGCCCTGGGTAGCAAGCTTCCTGTTCACACTTCCACTGGATATCCCATGAGGCACTGCATGCTGCACTGGGCTAATTGTCTGACATTTCCCCTTTCTGGTAACTTTAGATCATTCCCCCCTACTTCTGAATAACCATAAATTATTTTGGAGTTCTGTGTCCACCTTCCCATGTACCTTCTTCCCCAAGTAACAAGAGTAGCTTAACTACTAACTACTGTAGTTAGGTGGTACGTGGAACTAAGTAGAGAAGGTGAGAACTATGCCTTTTCCTTGCCCCCCAGATCCACTCCAAGTCATAGTGAAGTATTAGACAAGTGCTCACTGTGGCCTGGATCTGTGATGAGAAAGGCATTCTCTGGGGCTAACTGTTCTCCCCTGTTTAGCAAATAGATATTGACCAAATACTTTACTTGTGAATAGAGAGCAGATAAGACAAGTGTAGTCCAAGGTTCTGGTGTGGCCGGGCATGTTCTTAACCGTTTACAGTACGCTAGCTCCGTCCACTATTCTAATTGTCCTTCCCTGTCAGTCTGCATCACTGCATTGTAATATGGTGGGCTGGGCTCCCCTGTTTGTGCTGCGACATGAACGTCCTCTGCCAGCTTCATTGTCAGACGGTTTCAGAACTGTCTCATCAGCTCGCAGTGCAAGCAGCCACTTGAATTCTTGGACCCGCCCACACGCCTTCCCACAGCTCTAGCCTGAAAGCAAGAAAGAAGAGGGAACAGCCACGGAGACATTCAACTCTAAAATTAACTCCGATTGTAAAAGCACTGCAAAAAGACAGGCCTGTTTGTTTGTTTGTTAATCAGTCAAGAAGCCCAAACATCTAGCCAAACATCTAAGAAGCACCTGGTGTTGTAAATGAGAGAGAACGTTATGAGAGGCTTTTTTTAGCTTACCGCTGTTGGTGGAATGTCACCCAACTGCCACTGAGTTAGTTTCAACCCATAGAGACCCTGGCTAACCTTTTAATTCCTTATATGTTACGGTCAGCAAATGTCATTTCTGAATTTAGAATGCAGTCTCTCTCCCAGCCTCTCAATTTCAAATTGCAGAAAGAACATCAATGTAATTTAAAGGAAATTAAGTTCTCCAGCCCTGTTTGAGTCCCAACTTCAGCCCCAAGAAGCAGTCAAAATAGGGACTAGCTAACAGTAAAATGTAGGGTGTGTTTTATTTGTAATTCTTTGAATTAACCACTAATACCAGGCAGTCATTTTTAAAGAAAACAAGCCCAAAAATAAAGGTAAGAGCTCTGTATACGTCACATTGCTAGGTGGTATATTTCTCTTATCTCTGGAACTTATTAAATTTCACCTACAGTTTTTATAAAATACATGAGTTTTTTATTAATATGCTTCTACCAGAAAGAGTGTGAGTGATTGTAAACTTGGGATCTTAAAATAAGGGTGTCAGGTAAGGCAAAAGAAGTGCATTCCACCGATGCCATCACCTTACTTATTTTAATTTTATATCTGCAGGTCATAGAGCTGAATATATGACTACAAGGTAGGAGAACATTTTATACTGACTCATTGCATCTCTTTTTTTCTTCTTTGACAAGAAGCCACTGTTTAAATGCTGCAGAAATGGATGTATTTTGTGAATGTGCATGGAAGATGGTTTTGAGTTTGACAGTGCTTAGCAATATGAAATATGTGGGGTGCTCATGAAAACCGGTGGAATGGTAAAGCTCCTTAGCAAGCAGATTCAGTACTAAGGAGTGAAGGTGACTGGATCTTGGTTCATTTTGCCAAAGCATAATCAGGTTCCAGAAGTCATCTACAAGACTTTTGATTGAATAATTAAATTAAGCAATATCATGTGCATGTCTGTTGAGTATGGAAGTAGAAAGTATGACTCCTTTCTTCCTGCTTCTACATACCTTGTGTTATAAACATCACCTTAGGGCTTTAGCTCTCTACTCCCTTTTAGATCACTTTTAAAACTTAGCTTTTAGCTCCTACAAATATATTACCCTTCTTTTTCTTGTCCTTCTCCCTGGTCCCCTTTTCCATTGCTTGAAGGATTTAGACACTACTGCTAAGAAATATTTTTTGGAGGCAGATTCAGATTTGGATTGGGGAAGTTTGGGCAGCTTTTATTTTCCTATATTGGACGGGCAGCCAGGGATTGTTCTAATTGACATAGCAAGGTTTTTCTCATTTGAAATGAGGTTTTCTTAGAATACCTTGATGTCTTTTGAAGAAATGGACGATTCTATTGTCAGGGTTCTGTAATGAATGCTCCTCCCAGGGGCTCTGGTGGTGCTGTGGGTTAAGCATTGGGTCAGTAAAACCCACCAGCTACTCAAGGGAAGACAAATGGAGGCTGTTTCCTTCAGTAAAGCTTAGATGTAGGGTTGCTATGAGTCAGAATCGGTTTGGTGGCAAGTAGGTTTGGTTTGTTACAGGTCCCTGGTTGACACAGGTGGGTTAAAGTGGCTGCTAATCTAAAGGTTGGCAGTTTGAACTTACCCAGCACTCTGAGAGGGAACCTCGGCAATCTGCTTCTATATGATCAATCTGCCACAGCCAGGTAAACCCGATAGAGCAGTTCTACTGTGTAACGCGTGGAGTCATCTTGAGTCAGAATCAACTTGATGGCAGTGGGATTTTGGAGTTACTTGTGTGGGATTGTTTTTAAATATGTTATTATGTCTAACATGAAAGTTTATATAGCAAATTTGGTTCCCGTTTAAGAATTTCTGTACCAAGTATTCAGGGGCATTGGTTACATTGCCATGCTCATGTCTTCTGCTCCAGTTGCACTTTCTAGTACCTTAGTTTCCCCACCTCTTTACATTCTTATCTTGGCTTTAATTTTTGACCATTTTGTCTCATAGAGATGATTTTTTTCATAGGCGCTCGTGATTTGTGAGTGATATGCTTTATTTTATGAGCTCTTCTGTTATTCAGCTAAAAGAGGACCTTGGGACAATTTCAAGTTAAAGAGTATCTTGGCGTGATGGTCTCAGGATTCTTCTCGCCAAAACAGGGCCAGTAAACACAGGTTTCCTTCTTTTTTTTTTTTAAATCATTTTATTGGTGGAGGGCTCTTACATATCTGATGACAGTCCATCATTCAGTTGTATTAAGCACACTTGTATATACGCTGCCATCAATATTTCCCAAACAATCTCTTTCCACTTGAGCCCTTGGTGTCAGCTCCTCTTTTTTCTTCTTTCCCCTCCCCTCCCACTCTCTTGAATCTTTGATCAATTACATATTACTCTTGTTATTTCATGTCTTACACTGTCAGTTGTCTCCCTTCACACACATTTCTGTTATTCATCCCCCTGCAGGTGGGCTATATATCCATCCTTGTGATGGGTTCCCCCTAAATATGGGTTTCTTGAGAACTTGAATTCTGTTCTACATTTTTTTCCCACTTGATCAGTGTCACATTTTGTGACCCTGACTAAAACAGCCAGTAGTGGTAGCTGGGTACCATTTAGTTCTTCTGTTCTCAGGGTATCTTCAGAACACGACTCCCATAGACTATAGAAAACAGTTTCATCATTAGGCCTATACTCAAGTACTCCCTGAATGCAAGAACACTTTGTTCTAGTAACCTGGCATTCTGTGACGCTCAGCTTCCGGGCACGATCGATGAAAATAAAATGGGTGCATAAGCAAATGTAGTGAAAAAAGCTGATGGTGCCCAGCTATCAAAAGATATAGCATCTGGGGTCTTAAAGGCTTGAAGACAAACGGCCAACAAAGTCCACATGGAAGAAGCACACCAGCCTGTGTGATTATGAGATGTCGATGGGATCAGGTATCAGGCATCAGAACAAAAAATCATATCAATGTGAATGAGTGGGAGTACAGAGTGGGGACCCAAAGCTCATCTGTAGACAATTGGACATCCCCCCACAGAAGGTTCACAAGGAAGAGAGGAGTCAGTCAGGGTGCAGTATAGCACCAAAGAAACATACAACGTTCCTCTAGTTCTTTAATGCTTCCTTCCCCCCCCCCCCCCCCACTATCATGACCCCAGTTCTACCTTACAGATCCAGCTAGACCAGAGGATGTACACTGGTACAGATAAGAGCTGGAAACACGGGGAATCCAGGACAGATAAACCCCTCAGGACCAATAATGAGAGTAGCAATACCAGGAGGGAAAGGGGAAGGTGGGAGGATAAAGGGGGAATCGATCACAATGCGCTACATATAACCCCTTCCCAGGGGGACAGACAACAGAAAAGTTGGTGAAGGGACACATCTGTCAGTGTAAGGCAGCAGTTCTTAACCTGTGGGTCGCAATCCCTTTGGGAGTGAGCCACCCTTAGGACTCGCCCAATTCATAACAGTAGCAAACTTAGAGTTATGAAGTCGCAACGAAAATAATTTTATGGTGGGGGCGTCACCACATGAGGAACTGTATTAAAGGGTCATGGCATTTAGGAAGGTTGAGAACCACTGGTAAGGCATGAAAAATAATAATAATTTATAAATTACCAAGGGTTTGGGAGGAAGGGAAAAAAATAAATGAGGAGCCGATACCAAGGGCTTGAGTAGAAAGAAAATGTTTTGAAAATGATGATGGCGCCGGAGGAACTGAGGAAGCTGCTCTGTTGCGGCAGAGGCCAAGCAGCGAGGCCCGGCTCCTTGAAAGAACAATAACCTGCCCCTGGGGTTCACCATGCCCTCCGACCTGGCCAAGAAGAAAGCAGCCAAAAATTAGGAAGCTGCCAAAGCCCGGCAGCGACCCCGAAAGGGGCACGAAGAAAAGGGAGATGCTGCCACCGAGCCGCAGGTGGCAGAGGAGAAAAACGAGGAGTCCAATGGCAGAGAGACCACAGAAGTGGACTTGCTGACCAAGGAGCTAGAGGACTTTGAGATGAAGAAAGCTGCTGCTCGAGCTGTCACTGGGGTCCTCACCTCTCACCCAACAGCACTGACGTCCACATCATCAACCTCCCGCTCACCTTTCATGGCCAAGAGCTGTTCAGTGACACCGAACGAACTAAACTCAGGCAGACACTATGGTCTTATTGGCATAAATGGAATTGGAAAGTCCATGCTCTCTGCTATTGGGAAACGGGAAGTGCCCATCCCCGAGCATATTGACATCTACCATCTGACCCGTGAGATGCCCCCTAGTGACAAGACACCCTCGCAGTGTGTGATGGAAGTGGACACGGAGCGGGCCGTGCTGGAGAGGGAGGCGAGCGGCTGGCGCACGAGGATGCGGAGTGTGAGAAGCTGATGGAGGAGCGGACGCCGACGAGGCAGACATGAGGGCCTCCCGGATCCTGCACGGGCCGGGCTCCACCCCCGCCGTGCAGCGCAAGCAGCTCAAGGACGTCAGTGGAGGCTGGAGGATGAGGGTTGCCCTCGCCAGAGCCCTCTTTATTCGGCCCTTCATGCTGCTCTTGGACGAGCCCACCAAACTTGGACCTTGATGCCTGTGTATGGTTAGAAGAACTCAAGACTTTTAAGCGTATCCTGGTCATCTCTCATTCCCAAAATTTCCTGAATGGTGTGTGCACCAACATCATTCACATGCACAACAAGAGACTGAAGTAGTATACGGGTAATTATGATCCGTATGTGAAGACTCGACTGGAGCTAGAGGAGAACCAGATGAAGCGCTTCCACTGGGAACAGGACCAGATCGCACACATGAAGAACTATATCGCCAGGTTTGGCCATGGCAGTGCCAAGTTGGCCCGGCAGGCCCAGGGCAAAGAGAAGACACTACAGAAAATGATGGCATCAGGCCTGACAGAACGCGTTGTTAATGACAAGACACTATTGTTTTATTTCCCACCATGTGGCAAGATGCCTCCACCAGTCATTATGGTACAAAATGTGAGCTTCAGGTATACGAAAGATGGGCCTTGCACTACAACAACCTAGAGTTTGGCATTGACCTCAACACACGAGTGGCTCTGGTAGGGCCCAATGGAATAGGGAAGTCAACGCTTTCGAAGCTGTTAACTGGAGAGCTACTCCCCACAGACGGCATGATCCGAAAACACTTTCATGTCAAGATAGGGCGTTACCATCGGCATTTACAGGAGCAGCTGGATTTGGATCTCTCTCCTTTGGAGTACATGATGAAATGCTACCGGAAATCAAGGAGAAGGAAGAAATGAGGAAGACCATTGGACGATATGGTCTCACTGGGAAACAGCAGGTGAGCCCAATCCGGAACCTGTCCGATGGCCAGAAGTGCCGTGTGTGCCTGGCCTGGCTGGCATGGCAGAACCCGCACCTGCTCTTCCTGGACAAGCCTACCAATCACCTGGAAATTGAGACCATCGATGCGCTGGCTGACACCATCAATGAGTTTGAAGGTGGCATGATGCTGGTCAGCCTTGACTTCAGACTCATCCAGCAGGTGGCACAAGAAATCTGGGTCTGTGAGAAGCAGACAATCACCAAGTGACCTGGAGATATCCTAGCCTACAAGGAGCACCTCAAGTCCAAGCTGGTGGATGAGGAACCTCAGCTCACCAAGAGGACCACGATGTATGAGCCCTCTGCCCAGGCTTGGGTCAGGAGTTTCCCTGGGGACTTGACAGCTGCAAACCGCTCCCCAGCCTCGCCTGCCCCTCAGCCGGCCTGAGCTGCACTCTTATATACAGCTGGACAGTACCTGTATTTCCTGTCCTCTTCCCATTGACCTTTGTCTGTGTCTGGAGTCAGCTGGCTCTTCCCTTCCAGCCCCTGGCTGGTCACCTGACCTGGATAGTGACGCAGCCAGAGGCATCTGGGGGTTAGTCCAAGGGCTGACGCCCTGGATTTGACCCGAGAAAGAGCATAGGATCCTCATTTTCTGGATGTTGGTGATGTTGGTGGAAAGCCCCAGTTCCACCGCCCCCATTCTTTCTGCTTCTCATTTGGAGCTCTCGACCAAGGCTTTAGTCCTGGTCAGTTTTTAAATAATTATTTAGCTGTAATCTCTAGACCTATGTGACACCTACAAAGCGTCCAGTAAAGGGAGAAGAGTCCAAAAAAAGAAGAAGAAAATGATGATGGCAACAAATGTAAAACTGTGCTGACACAATGGATGGATGTAAGGATTGTGATAAGAGCTGTATGATCCCCCAGTAAAATGATTTAAAAAGAAAACCATTCCGTAGGACTATTTTCTTTACTGAATCATTGGTCCCCTTTCTCTTGTTTCAGATGATTAGAGACCAATAAATGTATTTTAGTTGGCCACTTGCAAACTTTCTAAGACTTTTGTTTTTGTTTTGTTTTCAATAATGTTACTGTGTTAGCAGGACATGGTATTTTACCTGGTAAGGGGGCCCATATTCCCTCTAGTCACTTGCCATGGGTCTTTTTACCCTTTCAAGCCCCTTGGGACTTCAGGTGATGCTCATTGTCTTCCTTTAATCATAGCCACCCACCTACTGGAGTAGCCTTGGAATTTGGCTATAGAAGACTGTAACAGCAGAGTTTTGGTTTTTCCCACTTTCTCAGTTGGTTTGGAGGGTAATGTCTTAAGAAGCTAGTCAGATTTTCAAATAAAATCTTGGGATTCTGTTTCTCAACTGACCTTTCTGAACTTTAATGAACCGAAAGGGTCATTCTTCCTAGAGAGTTTACAGCTCCACAAAGGCTTGACCTGATTTCCAGATGTGGCCTACAACCTTGACTAAACCTGGCCATTAAGGAGCCCTTGAACCTGGACAGTCCAGAAACTTGCAGTCGACTCAGCACATTTGAGTCAGGTCATCCTAGCTGTCAGTTTTCTAGGGGAGTCGGGGAGAACATAATCCCTCTGGGCAATTACAGTACTAGATACTGCAGGGTTTCTAAATACGGTACACTGGCTGTTCTTATGATAGAAAGACCAACTTTAACCCATCAAAGCACACAGACAGACTGGAACTGGAGAAGGGTCCAGAGGGAAGTCAACACGTGCGTTTTAATGGTCTACAAATATTTAGGCACTGAGACATTTTGTTGTAAAGAAATAATTCATGTGAGCCTTTTTCTTTCACTTCTGTCCATTAATAGTTATTGTTGCATAAGATAAGATCTCTTCAATAAACTGATGATATACAATTTACTTTGAATATGTTGGAATTAACATTAAAATCTTATACGGGGTCTTTAAGGGCCCTGGAGGCTTAACTGTATGACTCATAACGAAATAACACGGACCTGGCTGGGTAGCATTTGGCTAAATAACTTACAATTCCATTTGGTAATGCTGACCTTTTTTTAAAATAAAAAAACAGCAAACAAATGCCAGCCATTACTTTGACTGGATTGCTCCTATGAGTCGCTTGTGATGCAGGAGAAGAGTCGTTTGTCTGAACGGTTCCTATGGCTTGTGATGCAGAAGTACGCGTACATCAACGGACGGAGAAGAGGCCGGACTGTGCTCCACCAAGGGCGGGGTGGGCAAGGACTCCAAGAACTCCCGAGTTTTGTAATTTTGATGTGACCTAAGGGTGTTTCATGTATTGTTTGCTTTCTGTCATGCTCAGTAATTATATTCCCTTCCCTTAGGCCTCCAAATGTTCCCCCTAAGCCCCAGAAACACAGGAAGTCCAGACCCCGCTCACAGTATAATGCTAAGTTGTTTAATGGGGATTTGGAAACATTCGTCAAGGTACTGGCACCAGCCATCCGGGTGGCTGATCTCCCCGCTTCTTACTATAATGGCCTCAGCCTCTCATAAACAGAGGCAGGTCATTATGTCCAAGCCTGTCCTGGGGCTCTCTGCTTTCCCAGAAAATCAATATAATATTTCCTGAAGTCAAAACGGAAAGAAAATTTGGGTTGAGTGCCTTTATAAGAGGAAGTAAAAGTAGGTGCTATTATCCTGGGGACGAGGAAGCCCCTCTTTCTTTATTTAAAAAAAAAGGAATTGGTCAAAAGAGCAACCTAATCAAATGGTGTGTTTTTTTAATTGGTGCAAAAGAGATGGGCTGGGGAATGCTCCCCCTTAAGGCGTTTGTTAGGCTAGCTCAGAAGCACCGCAAGAAATTTGATTTCCCATGACTTGAGGAATTCATTATATTGGATAAATTGTAAGGTCCTGTAATCTATTTCTTGTATCTCTGCTTTGTTTACTCTCGGTCTTCTTTTTCACCCTGTATTTCTGATAATGCTTCTAGCCGAGGACGAAGAAACTCGCACACGAGACACCAGGTATAGTGCTGCAGGGAAGTGAGGCCTGGCGGCTTTCGCTCTCGGGATCGTTTTTTCCATTCGTACCCACGCCTGGCTGTTGTCATTAGATGTTGTTGTAGTCTTTAAAAGAAAAATGTTTGCAGTCGGAAATGAATCTGGTGTATAAGTAGGTGTTTTTAGAGAGGAATGATAGAACTCAAACCCTGACACCGCAAATGGCCCTCTCTGAAAAGACTCTTGGGTTTTACGTAATGCGTTTTGCCAATGTATCAAATTGGAGTCCATCTGTTTTGCCAATGTATCAAAGTGGGCTTGTCTTAAGGAAAGTCCCTGTTAAATACCTGATATGTGGTTCATCGCTAGATTGTGGCCCTGGTGTAAATTATACCAGACAGAGAGGCTTTCTTTCTCTTTTATAACTAACACATTTTGTGGCCTGGGCCACAAAAATACTTAGTCTAAATTTATGTGGGAGCCTGTTTCATCAATAACCACCTTCCTGATAATGTTAACAGTTATTTTACCATATTAAAAAACATTTATTATATGGATAAACTCCTGGTTTAAAGCTATGTGTGCGTGTGTATGCCTGTACATGTGCACACAGAGAGATACATACATATATAGAAAGATAAAGACTTGAGCAGCCTTAAAATTGAGTCTGAACCCTGGAATGGTGTGAAGAAGTCACTCAGCATCCTAAATGCCGATCGACAAGCCACTGCCTTCAGCCTAAAACTCAGAAAAGCCTTGTTGGCTCTAATTTAATATAAAATTATTGTCAAATGTGATTATCTTGTTTCCTAGCTTATAAGCAGGGGCAAATGAGATGGAGAAAGGGGAACAAGAAAATGAAAGCAGTTAGATGTTCCGCTGCTGGCCTGGCAGAGAAAGAAGCCGATGAGTGATTCCATTATATACGTAGTAAGGTAGTATGAGAATGACCATGTTAAGTCTCTCAAGATTTCTCATGATGAAGAGGTAAACCAAGCACAGTTACTAGAGAAATAAATTAGCCATCATGCAGCTTCACGTATGTGAATTCCATGGAGTTCTTTGCCATCCCAAGATGCCGCATTAGTCAGAGGTAAATGCAGTGATGGGGACGCGGAGGTTTCTACACGTCTGAAAAGTGCTTGACTAATTGAGACGTCCACAACATCACTGTGAGGCAGCAAGACTGAAAAACACGTTCCCTCTCTTTTCCACAAAGAAACAGATAGAAGATTTGTGTGTCGGTGGGTGGAAGGCAGCCTGTCATTTCACATCCTGTAAAATATTCTTACCACAGCATCTGGCATCTAGAAAATGTAATGAAAACACACCGCGCACACACACAGCACAGACATACACACACGTTCTCTTTTGAAAGTACAAAACGCATTGCATCTGAGTGAAAGACCGATCAAAAGTTAAACAATTAGCAGTTATCTGTAAAGGACCAAAAAAACCAATTTCCCCAGTAAAGTGAAAACGGAAAGCATGTTTATTTGGAACTTTCTTACTGCAAATATTTTCCTTTTAGGGACTTTTGTTCTCCTTGTTGTAACACTAGGTTCCTCGGAGGCACACGCACTAACCTTCTAGTTGTTTCACTTACAGTGAAGTCGCCAATGCTCCTCTGGATGCCGGTATTCCCTGATCCGTTCACAGAAAGGGAGCCCTGGCAGCGTAGTGGTTACATGTTGGCTTCTAACCAGAGGTCAATCTTGTGAACCCACCAGCCAGTCCAAGGGAGAAAGACAAGGCTTTCTACTCCCATCAAGAATTACGGTCTCGGAAACCCACTGGGGCAGCGCTACCCCGTCCTGTAGAGCTGCTTTGAGTCAGACTTGACTCCACATTCATAAGTGAGAGTTCATAGCAAGGTTACTCGCAAAGCGTACTTGTGCCTTAAAGAAAAATCTCTTCACCTGTGTGGTTAAGTTTTGTTGTAATTGCATGGCTGTTCACGAGCCAGCACGTCCACACTAAAAAGGTGTTTTTTTATTCTTAAAGCACTTGTTTAAGAAATTGATACAATTTACACCCACTACCACAGATTAACTAATTAGATAAACTTAATATAAGCGTCAGAAGTAATCAGACCATTCACTGGCTTATACACTGGTTAGATTGTCTGGAAACCTAAATTAAAACTGTTCCTAAGAAGGTATCACCTACTCTAAGCAGTGTATAGGGATTAAGTGGCGGAACCACACAATCCCCAGGCCTCTCCCCGCTGCTCACTTTAAAACTTACTGGATAGGGAGTAGTTCTAATATATGAGGACAGCCAAGTTCTTCTGTTCCCGAATGAAATTCCTCATGAGTTAGTACCTGATGTCAGCTAATCATTTTGAAGCCCCCAAGCTGGCTTTTACAGATCTAATTCCTGGAAGATCAGAGCCCTTTAAAAAGTACATGAAAAATAGCTTTGCCGGCTGTAACCTTTAACTACATGGAGTGTGCATGGCATTGATCCATACTTACCTGTGTCCTCAGCAGCTCCTCCATCTCATTTGTCATCTTACACACATTCTCAAGCATTTTTAGAATTCACATTTGCTCAGCAGCATGCAGTGACTGGGTTACAAGATGTACAGAAGGAAAGCCAAAAATGCCCCTTCCTAAGGAAACAAGACTGAATGGGCTATGCACGTGTGCAGTCTTCTCATAATGCTTAAAACCTGACCCCAAAAATAACAATGAAAAAAAATCCTTTAGGGTGAGTAAGTTCTGGTGCAAACTAAATAAATACATGACAAGTTGTAAGTAATTCTGGTATCCTGCAGCTGCAAACCTGGAAGCCGTTTGATAACCATTGTCAGCAGCAGGGCCTGCTGGCAGGCATCTGACAGGGAGGCTCCCTGAGGTGGCAGAGAGGTTGGCGGCTGGTACAGTCAGTCAGTCAGTGCTAACACGCTATGATGATAATACAGAGAGTTCATTCGGGCCCATTAAAGATTGATTGCTTGGATGAATGACCTTTAAAAAATGTGTGATTCATTTATTCACTTTAGCCCATGAGCCTAAATATAAGTAAAAGAGATGAATTTGCTTTTGAGCTCTCTAGCCATAACAGACTGAGTTGAAACAAGATTGACTTCAATGTATTTAGTTTGGTTTGCACCAGGGCTGAACTGTGCCTTGTTTAAATTTAAAATTTCACCTCTTATTGGGGGGAGGGGACAGTGTTAGAAATCTACAGGGGTGAAACCCACTCTTGAATTACCATTAGACTGTGAGCATTGCTGTCCCGGGGGATTATGTCTCTCCTTTAAGGGTAACAGCTCCCCTCTCTTACCCAGGACTCAGGACAGGTCATCCCCCTCATCGTGGAAAGCTGCATCCGGTTCATCAACCTCTATGGTAAACCACAGACTATGGGATTCTTTTTCTTAAAGAATCACTAATATGTTTACGTAACTGTGTCTTCCTATTTAGCATGCTGTTGGGGCGAGGGGAGTGTTTAAGAATGCGATGGAATCTCTGTTTTTAATCCTCTTTCCTTTCTATTCTTTCAGGTCTTCAGCATCAGGGAATTTTCAGAGTTTCGGGTTCCCAGGTGGAAGTCAATGATATTAAAAATTCCTTTGAGAGAGGTAATGGCGTGCCTGAATGTTATGTTTTTAGACCAAAGTGACAGACGCGTTCTTTTTAGCTTCATAATCTTTCTTTTTTAGGTTTACTTCATTTGGATACTTCACTTAGGTTTGCTTCTTTAGAATAGCTGAGAAATAAAGCCAAAGCCATAACCAGTTGCTTTGAATCCACTTCCTCTCGTGGCAGCTCCCTGTGTGTCATAGTAGAACTAATCTTCATTGGCTTTTTTTTCCCCCAATTGTATTGGGGGCTCTTACAGCTCTTATCACAATCCATACATACATACATTGTATCAAACACATATGTACATATGTTGCCATCATAATTTTCAAAACATTTTCTTTCTACTTGAGCCCTAGGTTCCAGCTCATTTCTGTCCCCCTCCCCCACCCTCCTCCCTCATGAACCCTTGATCATTTACATATATTTTTCCATATCTTACACTGACCAGTTTCCCTTCATCTGCTTTTCTGTTGTTCACCCCCCTGGGAGGGGGTTATATATCGACCAATCTGATCGGTTCCCCCACCTTACCCTTACCCTTCTGGTCTCGCTACTCTCATTGGTCCTGAGGGGTTTATCTGTCCTGGATTCCCTGTGTTTAGAGCTCTTATCTGTACCAGTGTACATACATGCTCTGGTCTGGTCTGATTTGTAAGGTAGAATTGGGGTCATGATAGTAGGGGGGTAGGAAGCATAAAGAACTAGAGGAATGTTGTATATTTCATCGGTGCTATACTGCACCCTGACTGACTTGTCTCTTCCTTGTGACCCTTCTGTGAGAGGATGTCCAATTGTCTACAGATGGGCTTTGGGTCTCCACTCTGCACTCCTCCTCATTCACATTGATAGAATTTTTTGTTCTGGGTCTTTGATATCATAGGCTGTTCTTAATGGCTGGTATTTGTAAAGTACCGTATATGCTCATGCATACGCCAAGTTTTTCAGCACATTTTTTATGCAGTTTTTATGGAAAAAGTAAGTGCCTCAGACCACCCAAAGGTAGAAAAATGAGCCCTTTTTATTATTTGGACTGCAATCCAAAAGGTTGGCCGTTTAAAACCACCAGCTGCTCCATGGGAGAAAGAGGAGGCTTTCTACTCCCATAAAGAGTTACAGACTCAGAAACTCACAGGGGCACATCTACCCTGTCTTATAGGGTCACTCTGAGTAGGTATCAACTTGGTGGCAGTGAGTTTGATTTTTTGGTTGAAGGGCAGAAAGGTCTATAAAGTTTTCATCCTGATACATTGATAGCCCACCTAGTGATTATCAGAAGCATCAGTTTTAAGGTCCGACAGAATTACCTCAGATGTTTCCCTCTACTGGTGGTGTGATTTGGGTCATGTGACTCAACTCTTTTTTTTTTTGGCCTTGGCTTCCTCATCTGCAGCATTGCAGAATAGTTGTAAGTAGTAGATTTAATCCATGAAAGAACCTGATTAATGATGCCTCTTAGTTATTGATGGTCTTCAGCTACAGTGATTTGCACTCTGCCAGCTTTAGACACACCTGTACCTTCCTTCCTCTGCGTGAAGGTCAAGCTGGAAAGGCAGGTGAAGAGCAGTTCCCCTGGTCAAGAATTGACATACAGCCCTTCAGAGTTGGAGCATTAGTTGCAGAGGTAAAATTAGGGCCAGCCAGCTTGTTATCTCTTGTTCTGAAACCTAATATTTTATTAATTAATATTTTTAAAGTAATTCTATATTTGTGATATTTTTAAGTTATTTAATACCAATTTGTTGGTATTAATTTTAAATATTTACTATAAATATCTTGGCTAATACAAATAAGGGTTGTTTAGCAATTTGTATAATGGGGAGGGAGCATTAGAATGGTTTGTGATTATGTATATAGAGCTCATTTTACAAGTGATTTAACCATGGAAGTTTATGATATGTGAATACTATATGAAGAAACCCATGAGAGAAAAAAGGAAGAAAGAAACCAAACAACCAGTGGTTACCATAGACCAATGGGTCTCCACCTTCCTGATGCCGTTACCCTTTAATACAGCTCCTTATGTTGTGCTGACCCCCCAACCATAACATTATTTTCGTTGCTACTTCATCACTGTCATTTTGCTACTGTTTTGAATCGGGCGACCCCTGTGAAAGGGTTATTCGGTCCCCCAAGGGCCACGACCTACAGGTTGAGCACCGCTGCCCTAAATGAAGGGGAAAGAATTGTTGCTTAGGGGGCATTGAGTTCATGTCAGTGGTGGTAGAACAATTTGGAAAAGGATATCAATAATGGTTGTACAGCATGAAGAGTATAATCAGTACCACTAAATTATACAAGCAGAAGTTGTGGAATTAGAGAATGCTCTGGTGTGTATCTTTTTTCCACAATTAGAAAAATCATTACATGAATAACAATGAACACAAGAAAGAAAATTTTCTGTAATTTAATATGGTGACAATTGTACAACTCTTCTGGGTATGACTGAATTATTGAATTGTATGTTGAAAAAAGAAAAACAATTATTATGAATTAGGTGAAGTGTACAAAGCAGGTCATCAGTGTTATATTTAGCAGTTCTTACACATTTTCTTTCAGCTCATCCACTGCAGTCCCATCAATATAGCATCACATATTCCAGTTTCTCCCTGTGTTCCCTGTTTCCAGTCCTCCTCCTTTCCGAATCCTCCAAACTTTGGTGTTGGATAAGAGTTATCCTTTTTATCTTAAATGGTTGATTATTTTACTTCAGGGTGGGTTCAGTTCCAGATTGAAAAGATGACTAAAAGACCTTAGCCTCAGAGGTCCCACCCAGCTGCCTCTTTTAGACCAATAAACCTGGTCTCTTGGAGATTTTGAGTTTAAGTCCACATTTTTCTCCCACTCTATCCAGGACTTTCTCTTGTAATTCTTTTCAGAGGAGTTAACAGACATAGCTGGGCACCATCAAGTTCTTCTGGTCTTGGGTTTGTGGAGACTGATGTTTGTGTGGTCCATGAGTCCATTGGACTGATTGTTTACCCATGTCTTTAAGTTTTAATCACTTCTTCTCATTGTACTTTAGATGGCTGCTCTTGAGCTTTTAAGACCCCAGTGGCTCCTCACTCAATTAAGATATAGGACATCGTCCTTGTGAACTATGTTATGCCAATTGACCTTAGTGTCCCCCAAGACTGTGGTCCTGATCCTTCAGGCCCAACAGTTCATTCCCTCAAGGAGTTTGGTTATATCTGAAGAGTATTCATAATTTTGAGTCACCACATTTCATGACTATATTTACAGCAAAGTAATATGATTAATACTCATATACAGCTATCCTCTGTTAAATATTTATATGTATACACCCACTCTCCATCTCATACCTCTTCAGCCTGCATGTCTAAGTATCTACTTATGAATCACCACTATTTCAGGATTATGTACGAGGGATCCTCCCCCAACACACACACACACACACATAAACCAGATTTTTTTATTTTTCCCCCCCAAAGCTATGTGTTTAATTTTTTTTTACAAAACAACCTTATCACCCCCCAAGTACTCCCCATTACACTTAATACATTTGTCAAATCTGCAATTCCAAACTCATCTGTTTGGATGGCTGACAGCACCTCCACCTCCTTCACTTTTTTCTTCACCTCTTCTACATCGTCAAATTGCTGCCCTTTTATGTTCCTCTTCATTAGCAGAAACAAAAAGAAGTCCCACGGAGTGAGGTCAGGTGAGTGGAGCAAGAGAGGCATGCTCTTTTGTGGCAAAAACTGGAGCACTCAGATGGCTGTGAGCAGGTGCATTGTTGTGGTGACAAAACCCGTCCCCCATCTGCCACAAATCAGCCCCTTTTGAGTCACCTACTGTTACGCTATCTTTTCAGAACCTCTAAATAGAAAGCTTGATTAATAGTCCAACCTGGTAGAGCAAACTCCAAATGCACTATCCCCCTCACATCAAAAAACAAATGAGCAATTGTCTTGATCTTTGATTTCACTTGACAAGCTTTCTTTGGGCGAGATGTCTGTCAGTGGTGTCTTCCACTGGCTTAATTGATGTTTGCTTTGGGGCCTTAACGATAGCATCATGTCTCCTCCCCTGTAATGACCTTGAAACCTCTGGGTTGATTTGAAACTGTTCATTCCATGCTGCGCATGTTTCCACTCGCCACTCTTTTCCTGGTCAGTCAGAACCCAAGGCACGAATTTCACAGTTACCTTTCTCATTCCCATATCTTCCATTAAAGTTCACTGAACTGAGCTCCAAGATAGGCCAAATAACTGCCCCATCTCTTCAATGGTCTGTCGTCAGTCTTTGAGCACAAGTGCACAAATTCTTTTGATATTTTCGTCCGTTTGGGAAGTTGATGGACGTCCAGAACAAGGTTTGTCATCAATTGACATTTTACCTTTTTTGAAATGAGAAAAGCACTTGTACACTTGAGTTTTTCTAATAGCTTTGTCCTTGTAAGTTGTGTTCAACATCAACAATTTCTGCGGCATTTTTCCCAAGCAGGAAACAAATGTTCACAACCTCACACTGTTCTCTAAAGTCAGCCATCATAAAAAACGAGATTTAAGTGAAACTGCTTTTATGAAAAATCTCACTGTGATGCCACTAGGTGCACTAGCACAGAGCGAGTTGCTGGATCCTCGCCTAGTGGGAAAAATGTGTACTACAAAAGCTCCGCCCAATGCAGCTCTCTTCCCCCCGCCCCCATTTTTGGCAGGAAGTACTCCCTTGTACAGCCATATTTGCCTCTGTTGCCTTTACCTCTTGCATACCTCTAAGAGTTCATTTCCAATGCCTGTGTCTGATTACAAAACCTCCCACTGCTCAAGACAGCTTTTAAATATGCTCTAAGCTGTTGGTCGTGACCCCTTTGGGGGTTGAACGACCCCGTTCACGGGTCACATGATTCATAACAATAGAAAAATTACAGTTATGAAGTAGCAATGAAAATAATGTTATGGTTGGGGGATCACCACAACATGAGGAACTATATTAAAGGGTCATGGCATTAGGAAGGTTGAGAACCACTGCTTTAAGCACTAACTTGGCCACCCTGGGAAACACCTATTTTTTATTCCAGTTTCCAGTGTGCACCATTCAGTGAAATTTTAGCTATTCTGATAACTTTTTTCAAACCCATATGACATAGGCAGGCAGACTTATATTGTATCTTTTACCACTAGGATAAGAAACACTGAGAATATATTCGAATTCATGTCAAACTAAGATTATAAATTTTAGCTTTTAAAAAAATGAATAAGATTTTAAATCTCACGATATTTTATTTTAAAATTTGGGTGACTTGTAAGGGATTATTTGGTTTCTCAAAATAATAGAAGCAATATGTTACCCAACTATATTTAGGCTAATCATGGGGTGGAATATCTAAGTCAATTATTTTAATTTTAGTACCCTATAATCTTTCATAAAGGGTCATTAAAAGGTATATGTATATATAGCAGTATGTGTGTGCCCAGAAACATATTTTTGTTTGGGGATAAAAAAGAAACTGCGTACAACTGATTTTTTTTTTTTTTTTTTAAGGTGAAAACCCTTTGGCTGATGACCAGAGTAACCACGATATTAACTCAGTGGCTGGAGTGCTGAAGCTCTATTTCCGTGGCCTGGAAAACCCCCTCTTTCCTAAGGAAAGATTTAACGATTTGATTTCTTGTATCAGTAAGTGGACTTTCCTTTTTATGGCTTTTTTAGCTTTTCTCACCAGAATTGCTTCACTAACCAACTTCCAGGAAAGACAACAGACCTTCCCCCACCCCCGCCTCCCTTTACCACCAGATTTCTGAGACCATTTGTTTCATGCAGTCATCCTCACAGCTGTGTGGCCTCACCCTCAGTTGAGAAGGATTTGCTCCTGAATGTCCCAGGCCTGCAGGTAGGCTTTAACCACCTAAGGAGCCAGGGGCAACTGTAAACATTGGAATGTAGCTTTGGGGGAGTCTTTTAGTTCTTCCTTTTCTCAACCAATTTTAGGAGTAGAGTAATTTATTCTTCTTTGATAGTTACTTAAAGGAATAAGGTAAAATGAAATGAAGAACACCAGGCAGGCGGCATCCTAAGCTAATAGGCCAAGTTGTTTAGGGAGAGTGTATGATATATGGCAAGCAAGACAGATAATCAGCAGCAGAGTACAGCATTGCTTTTTGTGTCAGTGGGGGCTTTTGATACAGCACGAGGGAAAATAAATATAATCATGCCAAGAGGTAGGTATTTACCATACTTGGGTACCACACATCTAACAATGTGCTGTTTCTTTAGAATTCCTGCATTCCAAGGTGAGGGGACCTGACTTAAATCACATAGACAGGACTTTCATAAGAATTGAGCTTTACCTTAAATGGAAAATCATCTTCCTTCCCCACACGGACTTTCCTCCCTCCCTGCCCCCGCCCCCACTCCTGATTCACCAAGTTCTATTAACTTGACCTCAGAAAAATGTCTCTACTCATCCCTATGTCCCCATCACCTAATTTCTGACTCAAACTGTTGTTGTTCTTGTTAACTCCCTTTGAGTCCGTTCCCAACTCGTGGCTTGGACGTGTACAACACAATTAAACGGTGCCTAGTTCCCATGTCATCCTCCCCATCAGTGTGGGTCGGTCTGTTGTGGTCCATGGGGTTTTTCCTTGACTGGTTTGGGGAACTAGGTCACCAGGGCTTGCTTTCTAGTCTGCCTTAGTCTGGAAGTACTGCTGAAGCCTGGTCAATCTCATAGCCACATGCCACCCTCCACTGGCAGATGAGTAGTGGCTACACATGGAGGGCATTGGCCAGGAGGCAAACCCTGGTCTCCTGCCTGCACGGCAGGAATTCTCCCCTTGAACCACCAGTGTCCCTATTGTTACATTCTCTTCTATGCATCCCTACTTCCGAGTTATGCCCTCTGTCCCACCATCAAATTATTCCATCCTAGCACAGCGCTTACATTCTAAAATGCAAATTGTGTTATGTCATTCACCCCTGTCCAGAGCCTATTTCCATATTCCCCAACTAAAATATACGGCCTTCACATGGCCAGTACGAGACGTTTGATTGTGAGGGTTGCAGTTAAGGAGATGAAATGTGTGTGTATTGTTGGGTGAGAAACCAATCTGCTCGATAGCCCTTCAGCCAGTTCACAATGACAAGAGAGACCATTAAAATAAGTGCATACTAAGAAACGGGTCCTCCCAGAAGCCCTCCAAAACGTTTTTTTCGTTGGCATCGGTACCTAAAATGTTAGCTCTCGTTAGACATTCTTTTTCCTCTCATGATCTCCCCCTTTGTGCAAGTCCACTGTCCACTGAGGAATGCAGCAGTGTGCCTGTGTGTCCACTCCAAGGCCCTCACAGCCTGAGTCATCCTGACCGACCTCTGACCCCGCTGGAAAGAATAGAAAGGAGGAGTCACCGTCCTGGAATTCTCTTCTGGCTGTAAAACTTCTGTGGCCCACATGCTGGCCACAGAGCCATGTCCACAAAAATCATCAGTATTCCACAATGCTTAGTGGTTTCCTAGATATATACATCATATCAATCATAACATAGACATGTACCAATTCAGTATAGAGCATGAGGCTACATGTCAGTTACCAATATGAAATTATTTCTCACTTTCATTGGATGAGAGTGTTTTTGTTATTGTTGGTGGTGGTAGTGGTGTGTATGGTTTTTAAAAGCTGAGGCCATAGAGTTCTAAATGTTTAGGTTCAAATCCGAGCCTTACCCTCATTTACTTTGTGACCTTAGGCATGTTACTTTATCTTATACCAGCATCTTCATCTGCTTAACAGAGACTGTGAAAGTGATCCACAGAAGGTATTTCTCACAAGGCCTAACACATAGTAAGCCTTGAAATGTGGCTAGCTCTTGTCAATACTACTACTATAACTCTTTCTACTATAAGGTCAGGCTCACTGGCTTAGCCACTTACCCATCTACCTATTCTGCTAAACAGTGTTTCTTTGACATCATTACCCCACATGCATTTAGAAATGATGCTTGTATCACCCGGAAATTGTATTGGTTCCAGCAAGATTTTCCCCAGAACTCTAACTATTTGGAAATTAAGTCAGATCTTCTTAGGGTTGGAGAAGTAGCCTTTGCAAAGTATAGAAAAGCCACAGGAAAAACAGCTGAAAATCTACGGAACTTAGGTTCATGCAAGCAGTGTTGGAACTTTTCAAGAGTAAATAAAGAAGCTGCAAAGATATTTCTCCCTGTGTTAAAACAATGGATTAATAGTCTTGGCCTCACCCTGGATCAGTTTTTCAATTTGATGAAATGAATGCCCCTCCTCCAGGCCTACCTCATGCAGAAAGAAGCGGGGGCCCTGGGGACTCACTGGTGGAGTTGGGACCGGCTGTGATGTGAGGCACGCATGGTGGAAGCAAGTTTGCTCTGCTAATCCTTTGAATGAGATGTGTGTTTTGTTAGTGCTGCAACCCTGTTTTTTCATGGGTATTTGTTGTTTTTAGTGCATAGATTTAGAGAACAGGAGGTCTGTCAAGAACATATATTAACACTATAGATAGATAGATAGATAGATAGATAGATAGATAGATAGATAGATAGATAGATAGATGATCCCTTTTCCTCCTTCAACTAATCTCTTTTAAAAATGGGATTCCTGGCTATTAACTGATTCATCTCTAGGCAGGTACTTCCTCTTACCTATGTTCCAGTGTTGTGTCTATACATTTCCAGGATTTTCAGTAAATTCTTGAGGAGGGTAGAGTATGTCATTCATTATTATATTCCCTCCCTGACACCGCAACCTTCTGATAATTTGGTCCAAATCGATCATTTATTGGATACCATATATATTCTTGTAGAAGTCGAGTGTTTTTCAGCACATTTTTAAGGCAGTTTTTGTGGTAAAATTAGGTCCCTCGGCTGATATTCGGGCCAGCTTATACTCGAGTATATACAGTATATTGTGCAAGGCTCTCTGAGTGGTCACAAAATTGACTCTTCACTCAAGAGGCTTAAAAGATACTTAAGCACAAGGGGGGGTTCAAAAGTTCATAGGAAAATTCCATTGCCTTTTAATTACATTTTCCCCATAATTTTTTGGAAGCCCCTAGTCTAAGCACAAGATTATTAAGGTCCTTGCAAATTACAGTGATCCAAGTGAAATGAAAATGAGTAGCACAAATGGTTAAGTGCTTAACTACTAGCCAAAAGACTGACAGTTCAAATCCCACTCAGATATCTCAGAAGATATGTCTACATGTGCTTTCAAAAGCACCCAGCCTTGGAAACCCTGTGTGGTGTTCTGTTCTGCACGCATGGCAACACCATGAATTAGAATCAATGAATTGATCCACAGAAGGTTTATAAGCCTTTCATTTCTCAACTAGGGGAGCTGCTGTGAGCTCTCATCTTAAGGCTAGCCTAGGATCCTCCCAGAGATACTGAAGCATCCTTTTATTTTTCTCTTTCCTTTCCTGGATACATACAATAATTAATAACAGCCTGCACGCTGTTAGAGTGCCCACGTTTGCTGTCACTGGTAAGTTCACCTGGGACATGGGTGGCTCTCTGGAAGGCAGAAAGAAAGATTTGCTTTGCTTGCAGTTAAACCTTTTCCTACCCCTCCGTAAGGATGAAGTTACATCTTGTGATTTAGGACTTGTGTTCTGGCAAACAAATACTCTTGTAAATAGTGCCCCAGAAAAACTGGCATGGTCAGAGGAAGGGCCATTTGCACTTCTGGGGGGCCATTTTTGAAGTAACTTGTGCTTTGGGGTGACTTTTTCAGACAGGTCTACGTGGAGCTCTCAAACCACCAGGACGTGATGTTGAGCCTTCACATGAGAGCCTGGGAGGGTTGGAAAGGAACATAAACAAGCGAGCATGGGGAGCCTTGAGCATGTGCAGAGATTGGGTGACTACCACTATAGCCTAATTACACGAGCTCCTGAAGTGTGCGTGGAAACCAAGCCCGGCTTGAAAGAAGTCCCAATGAAATACTGCTTCTTCCTCACGGAAGCCTTTTCTGAGAGGAAGGAAAAGATTATCTTTTCATTCAACCAAAGATTGTGAAAGACCTTGAATTGCCACACTCGCACTCCGCTAAGAATGTACATTAGCCAGAGTTCTGGCAGCAGCCGTAAATTGTGAACGGAGCTGGGGGAGTAAAGGAGTCATCTGTATTGGAACAAGGCTCCTGTCATGTGTGGGCTACCAACCTGTTGAGGTCAGCTTCTGAGGGCCATCACGGCCCTTGTGGTCTGAGGCCTCAGGAGAGATTTGTTCCTGCGACACGAAGGCCAGCAGTCCTGCTTTGCTCAGATGTACGTTTACTGCAGCCGTGGAGAATCTATGTCTGCCTCACTAGGGTTATTGCTATCATTTTTTAAGATTCATGTGCTTTTGCCCTGTTGCATTTTTTCAGTTGCATCTCACAGGTCCTCCAACAGGTTTCCAAAATTATTATTACTATTGTGATGCCACTGTATTGCCAGCTCATTTGCCAACTCAACAGCTTTGACATCCACACTGAGGACATTCAGCATACTGGTCACCCAGCACAGCTGTCCTGTTCCGACTTATTCCAGCCCTGTGAGAGGATCCTCAGGGGCCCCGAAACAATGACTCCTCCTCCCCTCCCGCCCACTTCTGGTATCCATTAATAATAAGCTTTGAGCTCTCTCTATGCCATATAATGAGGTCATATCC